TGTGTGTGTGTGTGTGTGTGTGTGTGTGTGTGTGTGTGTGTGTGTGTGTGTGTGTGTGTTTACTGAGGGTGTTTCCTGAAGCTGTTTTGATTCAGCTGAACTAGAGATAAACCTGAGGCTCACCTGAGGCAGCCTAACGACCTGTTTTAACGAGGTTGTGTTGTGTTCCAGGTGTGTTCTGTCGGACATGTTTCCTCAGTCTGGGGAACAGGTGTGTCGTCTGCGAGCGCCCTCACAGCTCTCAGGAAGACGAGGAGGAGCTGTGAGTGTCTCAGCTGCAGACGGGTCTGATGGGCTTAGACCCTGCACTGGATCCAGACTCTGGGAGCCGGTCCTGTTCCAGCTTCACCTTCAGGATCTGGTTCAGAGTCCAGTACCCTGTATGTCAGTGGTTCTGATGTTTCTCCTCCTGTCTCAGAGACTCCAGTGACGACGAGCAGCTGAACCTCTGCTCTGAAGCTCTGAGCTCCCCTCACCTGGTGGACCCCTGCCCCCAGAGCCTGATGAAGAGGAGGGTCTTCACAGCCAGACGGAGACGACTCATGGACCAGTATGAGGGCGGAGTCTCACCTGTGGACCAGAATGAGGGCGGAGTCTCACCTGTGGACCGGTCTGAGGGCGGAGTCTCACCTGTGGACCTGTGTGAGGGCGGAGTCTCACCTGTAAACCGGTCTGAGGGCGGAGTCTCACCTGTGAACCGGTCTGAGGGCGGAGTCTCACCTGTGGACCGGTCTGAGGGCGGAGTCTCACCTGTAAACCGGTCTGAGGGCGGAGTCTCACCTGTGGACCGGTCTGAGGGCGGAGTCTCACCTGTAAACTGGTCTGAGGGCGGAGCCTCACCTGTAAACCGGTCTGAGGGCGGAGTCTCACCTGTGGACTGGTCTGAGGGCGGAGTCAGAAGAACTGATGGAGGCGATGAAGAGGAGAGCGACAGCAGCGATCTCTCTGACTCTGATCTCAGGTGAGACTGGTTCTGGTTCTGGTTCTGGTTCTGGCTTTGCCCTCCTGTCCAGGACCCTGTAAAAATCTCAAACATGTGTTTTCCCACTCTGGACCCTGTCAGTGAAGCAGACATGACCTACCAGGACCGACCCGGGTCTGATGACAGCGACACCTCCTTTCACTCCACCCACTCACCAGAAACGTTCTGCCTCCAGAACCAAGAGCTGACCTCGGTCCACGTTGATCATCCTCCAGAACCTTCCAGAACCTTCCAGAACCCGTCTCCAGGACCCAGAAGTTCCTGTGATTAAAGTGATTAAAGAATAAATGAAGCAGAATTGATCACAAACAGCTCTGATGGTTTCTCTCTGTGCACCTGTGTGTTTTCTCCATGTTTTTAGAATCAAACAGGAAGTCAGTCTGATTGGTCTGGCTGTTTGTCTCATGTCCCTGTGAGGGACTGGACACCTGTACAGGTTAACCCCGCCCCCACACAGAGACTGCTGGATATGAACAGCACTGACCCTGAAAGACTGGGTCAAAGATGATGGATGGATGATGGATGATGGATGGATGAACAGATGGATGAACAGATGGATGGATGAACAGATGGATGGATGGATGAACGGATGGATGGATGAACAGATGGATGGATGAACAGATGGATGGATGAACAGATGGATGATGGATGGTTGAACAGATGGATGATGGATGGATGATGGATGGATGGATGATGGATGGATGATGGATGGATGAACAGATGGATGGATGTTCAGGTAGTATCTCACCTCCCTGTGAGGTCCGGTCAGCAGGAGGTTCTGTTTGGTTCTGGACCGGTTCTGTTGAGACTAACACACCTGATCTCAGCAGAAGGTGATGTTTGTTCGTTCACTGAGAAGGGCTTATCTGCAGAATCAAAGTGGGCGTGTCACAAGAGTGGGTGTGTCTAAAGCATAAACACTGTGGGCTACGAGGCCTACATGAC